ACTGAAAAGCGGCACTGACTGCCGTCGATCCCGACGGAGCAAAAACGGGAAGCAGCTTTTCGTAGAAAAACACACTAATTTCAAATGGAACCAATGATATACTATGATCGGTATGATAAATGATCATTGATCATAAGTCATCTCATTGTAGAAATAGCCAACTTCAAAAAAAAATTAGCGCAAGCTTTGAAAATGATCTACTCGCTTAGCTGTGGCTCGGTGACCACGTTTCTTCTGTTCTACATCGATTGTCACTATCTTCTTAATATATATATTTGTATTTTTTTTAATATACAGGTGCGCAAGTAGGTTCTTTCTCATATCAACATCGCCTTAGATAAACTGGTCAAACAAGCTGAGTGGCTGCTTTCCGTGGCCGCGAAAGGCGTTATTTCTTTAAATATTTAATTTAAATTGCGCGGCCTAATCAATTGTGGCCTATGACATTGTACAGGAACTGTTCAACAAAGAGTTGATAGGCTTCGGACTATTCGCCTGCCTCTAGGCGGCAGAGAAGGAACCTTTGAGATCTTGCAAGCCACCCCGTTAGCAGATGAAACACCCTCTGCCTGACGAGCAGAAGTGAAATTAATATATTTTTATTGCCTCAACACTACCTATGTGTGTTTAAAATGTAACCACTATACGGTTTCCGCTATTTTACGAGATGCCTAACAGTTCAAGTAGCGGACGCGTAAAACACGAAAGGCCATCCGACTTATGGCGACTGGCGAATTCCATTTGGATGCCTATCCTATTAAGGCAAAAACTTAAAGAGACAAAGTGGCCCGCATAACAGCGGTTTTAGAGCAAGAATAGGGCTATATTTCACTACATTCTTTCGAATGGGTTGTGGTAAAGAGGGGGCGAAACTGAAGTGTAGTCTGTACAGCAACCTAAAACGTGTTATATCACAGTGTGTGCGCAAGAACATTCTTCTATAGGCCCAAAACAATGTATGTTTGTATGCATTGCCCAACGAGCAAATAAACGACACGTATTATAAGAGGAAAGTAAACGTCAATTCTATATCTGGTAAGTGTTTATATAAAATAAAATATAAAAGCTGGCAAGTATTTCATTAACTCCGCGAAGGGCATCTAGTGGACGTCTAAATGAATGTCAGCTGTAGCGTACGACTTAGAATCCATACGACTAAAAAATCTTAGACGACTACTTTTGGTGACTGATCTTCATCTGGATGAATAAATTTGCATGATATTTGGTTATGTAATAGGTCGGTATATGTACTACTATACATAAAGATAGACAGGCAGATGTTAAATGGAAACAACAAAGACAAGATAAATTATTACTGGATATGAACGAAGCTGCCCTTGGCATGTCTTTTCTTGTACTAGGTTTTTTGTCCTTCAAGCACTGCGAACTATTTTTACACAGTGATAATCTTGATGAGCCTTAGACTCATGATGCCCCAGTTTTAAGCCGATATATTTTTTAAACCGTCCACCCACATAGCTGACTCTAGGAAGAAGAAATGGTCGTGTATGCAATTACCTAATGTTGGAAAGACCTGTAGGCAATTAAAGTAGATTCTTCGAAATGAAGTTTCTCGTTTCTCGGCCAGTTGTTAAATGTCTTTTACGCAATACTATTGAAGGCCAAAGATTTTTAACAAAATCTTAGAAGGATAGCGATGAACTTTTCTTGGATCCTTAGCCTGAGTAAATATCTTACTACGACATTAAGAGAATCCGGCGAAGGTGATGTCAGGGCAGTTTCGCTTATGTCTTTGCAATTATCATTCATAAGTATTATGTGGGTAGCCTGAATAGTAATAACATGAACCAGAGAGTCCTTCGTCATGTCTTTTCTTTTGTTTCACTCAGGAACCACCGAGAAATAAAGTACGCTATGTGTGGAAGCTCTTCTGCGGCCGAAACGATTGCTTCTTCATACAAGAAAAACATGATTAAAACGTAAAAAATCGTCCGTTGACACAGTAAAACGTGTGGGCATAACTCGCGGCAGTCGTGATTGCTTACTAGCGATACGTGTACGTTAATTTGACTCTTGATCTGAGATTGTTCCGAGACACGACAAAGCCGTTGATCAGTGCGTCGGATTTGTAGGAAGAAGGTTAGTACTAATTCCAGCTTTATGAGAACCAAAAGCTCCCTGAAGACATATATGCACTGCGGTTCACAGATGGTATTCAGCGAAAGGGCTTCCATGAGTCTTTGGCGGCTTTGTTAATTAGGATGTTTATGTGAGCGACGGTATTTAAGAAAATAAACCTTATTCGGGAGGTGCCATATCATATGACAGATATAATAGGTACCTAGCCTAAAGAATTCTCTCAAAAAAACCGTTATGGGGGGGGGGGGGGAGAAATTAGATTAGAAATACGGTGTTGCTAAGCGTCCGCCATCTGCTAATACTAACTTCTACAGAAGTTTAGCCGCAGATTTGCCAAATTCGGAACTCTCGTACTTAATAACGTATCAAGCCTCAGACAACTATACGAGGTAGTATGATAATTGTGTACGTATTACTGACGCCTGTACGCTCGTATACTCAGATTTTTTAGCGAGAATTTTTTTAACTAACTGATTAATTTCGCAGTCCAAAATCAAACAGCCGGTGGTCGTAAATTGTAATGTTTATTATTTACTTAGTTCAATCACCAACGGTTTAAAACGTATATATTTTAGACGGTGACATTTGTTCAATGTGGCTAGTTACTGCTGGCTGCCATGGTGATGCAAAAGCGACAAGTACTACTGATTCTGAGCTATGGTATTGTCGTAGCGTACGATGAAACATATTTAATTGAGTCGCGGTCGCTGTTCTATTACGTATACTATTAAAGATACTCTACTATATTAGTGGACTGCCTGCAGCCACAAGTACCACGCTTGAAAAGATCCAAGCGAATCTTACGTAGCTACGTTCGGAATTAGGTCGTAGTGCTTGTATGTATTTTTTCGCTTGACCAATAAGAAGGGAGACAGGTATTACAAAAATATCATCTGTGTGAAATTGTTGCCAACCGAGAAGCTATCCATAAACTTGTCTCTAATAGATGCTTCCCTGTGAAGCAAGCCATTCTAGACCAGCCTCTCCGCAGGTAAGTCGTATATCATCATGGTGATGGCTAACTAGCTACCTGTTTACTAGTAAGATGACGATGCTTTCCAACAGTAATCGTGTCTTAATAGAAATGAATATCAAATGGCGTTTAAATATTAGATAGATGGTTTTTTTTCTGGTTGCAATTGTGCTTATACTCATAAACGGATAAACATTTTAATATGCTCCAGTAAATCTCTAGACTAATCAATTTCCTACTGTTAGCACAGAGAGTTTGTATTCTGATCCAATCCAGTTTCCCGACTGTATAATTAGACAGCTGTCAGATTTGTGTGGGTTGCCATCACGAGATCAGACCTGACACAAGTTATTTTGTCTTGGCATTAATAGTCGCTTAGACTGAAAGAGCTAAATGCCTCTACAGGTGATTCGAATAACTTTAGTTCAAAAGGCTATTAATTGCTGGGCATCTGTTCGGCTATTGTTGATCAGTGTACCTCAATGGCTTCAAAGTCAACTTACTATCGAATACACAGTAAATTAAAGTACTCTTCGAACGAACGACCAATGAGAACTTTAAGTTTTCCAACTGTTCGTTGCATGTTTCTCTTTTTCCGTGTACTACGCTGCTTAATATGCATACTAAATAATCTATTGGCATTTAAAAGGGAAGTGGCATAAATATGGCTTTGCCCCATGCGAGGGTTATCGGTGACACATATTTTGCTTTACAAAGATGCATAGAATTTATCAAGCCAAGCTATCGCTTGATTGAACTTAGTTAATGATTACTTATTTGCTAGAATACCTTCCTAAAATGAATCTCCCTTTGTTCTTTTTCTTGTTAGTAGCCTAGCGTATAAAATGCGCAACTAGAATTGGTTAATTCCTGCCAATGTCGCTTCAGCTTGTACTATTTTAATATTATTTTTTTATTGAAGTTGGATTGTACGAACCTCCCGCTAGCTGTCCACTAAGGCTAAATGTCTTCCAAGATTTTGCTACACCTGCATATACTGATTTACCTCTATGTCGTAAGCCTCAAATTTCCTCATAGATAAACAATGACGTCTAGGCCTATTGGATATACTTGCTACTAAGAAAAGCCTCGGAAGTACTGAGTTAACTATGGTGAGAAGACGTGGCCCAGGATGACTAAAGGGGATCCTGGCCTGGCTGAACGAAACAATGGTAAAGCCACTGTCAGTACTAGTGAATTATATGACATCTTTTTTGTTTGCTCTCATTGTTAAATCAAAGAAGTTCTTCAGCGTTCGCTTAAACCCATTAAAGCAGCTGATGTTACAATAGAATTTTGGTCATGTCACAGAGAAGAAAGCCCTTGCGCGTGAAATCAAATCATACAGGGTCCATTTTCGTCGTTCGCTTCGAGGGTAAAGATATATTCATATTTCTCAAAACCTATGGCAATATATAGCAAATTATTAATTCGTGTAACTCTGAATTATGATCATTGACATGCGTCCAGAGTGAAAAAGCGCAGCTCCTTGAAGACGATGGTGATTATACTTAAGCAACACGGCCGATTTTGGTAGGTGTCCTAAGAACACTCATTATTTTGATATTTTCTCTTGAATCATAGAGGATCGAATGGTGTTAGAAAATTAAACAAGCGGTTTGATTACATTTTACTGCATTCACTGGCGGTTTGTATTTAGGGATAAAGCACATATGTTCGTATAGCTTTAACAGAACGTTGCCATACATATATTCCACACATATTGATACTATTTTCATAAAATTACCTATCATTGTTAAGCTGTTTCCTGCCGAATAAGGTAAACCCAGCACTAGGTATTAGAAAAAAAACAAAATTCTCTTAGGCGTTCGTGAAGTCCTAACAAGCATTGTTTCATACTTTTGCAGCCCATCTTCAACCTGAACATTATATATATATATATATATATATGCGTCAGACCGTTAAGCATAGATAAGGCCTAAAATTGGACACCTACGGAGCTTCTATGCTTGCAGCTGGTACGTCTGATAAAGATTGCCAATTCAGGACGAACTAGGGAAATTTTAAGAAATGACGCGCATTATCTTGAAGCTGAAAAATCTTATCGGTGGAAGTGGGCCTATATATTCTCATTGTTCTACCTTATTATATCTCTAGCGAGTGAAAAGCAGCAAGTTGGGTAGGTGCTTTTCAGTTGCTATATGACACTAAACTATATGGATCAAAAGGCTACTTAAGACACGTTTGTTGAACCATAAGAATAAAACTAGCATGGGATAAATTACGTTCAATGTTCCCCGTAGAGAAAAAAGACCCAGCGGCCTAGGCGCAAATTCTAGTTATAAACGACCTTAATAACGAAGATTGCTACTTAATCGTAAGCTCTGAGATAATAAACTCACTGCTTTCCAATTATATTTAAGGTTTTATATATCTATCGACTCGTTTGGTAAGTTTTGTCAATTGCATTTCTAGGTCCGTTACATTGCTTCCATTAGCAGCAGCGGTCGCGCCTCATCTGACTTCCTGTTCTACCAGAAGCTTGTAGTTCGGTATAGCACCACCAGGGGATGGAGTGCGACCCTTTCCTCAAGTTCCCTCCTTCTTTTAAGCGCGCGAAGACCACGACACCGGTCGATTTTTGCAGACAAAGTCGCCCAGGATTGCTGTACGGCACGTATAGCCATTATAAACGCAAAGCTGTCTAACGTGCGCCAGAAAGTAAGGCTGCATCAAATTTTAAAAATCACTTTTTACTACATAACATAAAATGCTAAGGAAAAGCTTATTCCACATATTATAAACGTTCTAAGTGTCTTTTGTCATACTTAAATGTTGTGGTGATTCTAGCATGCTATTGTTAACGTCCTATATTCACTAAGTAAGATCATCGATGTCTAAGATCAAAGTTAATTGGTGGAATAGTTCATGTCCTTATAATGTGAGAACTACAATTTAGCAAGTCATAGGTAATTACTCGTTGTGCTGCGGTACGACAACGGCAGATGAAAGCATGTTTGGGCCTTGTCAATGTTTTTTTGAAATATGACGGCGAAAAAAGTGTACAATACAAGAAAGGTGATTGGAGCTACCGTTTTGTGTATAGTGAATTGACCCGTGAAACATCAGCAAAAAACAGTGAAAAACATTAACAACGACCATAGTAACAGCGAGAACAGCTTTGTGCCCTTATAGGAACAGCCGTCGAGATTTACGAGTGTGCCTTTGTGAATATTGAATCGTGGTTTCACACGAAAAAGGAGAAAGAGTGCTGTGTTTACTCCTGAATACATATATGAGATGCGTTCACCGGATATAAGGGGCGTGTAACACTAGCAGGACCTCATCGAGGTGTAGTTAGACAGCCCCCTAACTTGAGGATTGATTCTGGCAGGGCAAGTGTAGGATATGCCAAGAAACACGGCGGAACTGCGAGTGATGAAAGACTTCCGAGAACGCGTACCTCGTAGCCAGCAGACGCCAGAATTGCCAGAAGGAGCGGCGGTAGCGGCTTCTTTACGTTGGCACTGCCCATCGCGCTGGCGTATAACCGCCTTGTTATGCCAGTTGCATATAGCGCTTCCACTCCTACTGGCCTTTCTACCACAACTACTACTACTTCTAGGTGCTGCTGGTAAGAGACAGGACGGAGACACAGAAAAAGATGGGGGAATCCAATAGCGGGGTGGGGACAGCAATAGCAATTGCTTATGAGAGTTAATTAACCCAACCGCCTAGGCCGACGACTAGGCCGTTGTGCTAGCACAAACTTGCAATTCTCGGAACAACCGGTTGAATTGATAGCTAAATCGCACTACAATATAGGTAACCATCTCAATGAAAAATAGCTGATCAAATAGGCATAGCGTGAGGACATCAAGAGGGAAAAGAAGACTGAAATTACTGGAGAGCAATACGGACGCACATTTGGTTATAGGAAATAAAGCACGAAAGCCTAATAATAAAAATAACAAATGATACCAGGAAGAGAGCAAGTGAAATGATCTGCAGAAGCTTAATTTCTCAAGGACTGCCGCTATGCATTTAGATAAGCGTTCACTTGCTGAGGGTCATCACTTGAACCCGTCAAAAAAAAAACAGGTTCACAAAGGATAATAGTTTTAATGACGATTTTGAAAAGAGTGTTTGAAATCGGATTAAGGTATCATGTCAAATAACCTGTTAATGTTATGCCCTAATGAGTAAGAAGCCTTCTGTTATTAACTGGTATTTGTCCCGTTTGTATGTGAAATGCTGCCCAAAATATCTTCCTTTACTTTAATAGAATTCCTCATAATAGGGATTTTTGGGCTGAACCTTTACCTACGGAATAACCACGGTATTTGCAGTTTAAGAGCATGATGCGCCGGAGTTTCTTACTGGCATGCACAACGACGTGTGCCTGCAAAAGAGACGTGCCCTTCATCGACCTACTTTCGGCAGTGCTGAAATAAACAGAAGTTATCGTTCGGGATTATGCGAATAAGTACTGACAATGGGCCTTTAACAAGCTCTATACTTCGTACCGTTTTTCAATAGTCAAGCGTTGCCTGGTTCAGCGACTATGCTTGGGAGTGCCAAGGAAGCTGTACTAAGAATAATGTATAACATTTCAACTCATTTATATATAGAAGCGGTTATTTTTGTAAATACTGCCTTAAACATAGACGTTCGACTTAATTATCTTTTTCGTGCTTATGCAACACTTATCTAAATGTCTATGGATAATTGCGAATGACCTATTATTCAGCGGAAATATAGATAGCACATAACAGGAGGCTTAAGAAGAAAAAGTGCATCACAATTATGTGCAAACTGGTCAACTTCGTATACTGCTTATAGAAGCTGATCAAATGAATAAGCTGTAAGGAAAGGACAACCATAGTTTAGTTACGATATACCATGTCCTTATCGTAGGACATTCGTATTATTTGAACTATGTAAATGCAGTCAAATATTATATGCTAATATTAACTCTAATCACTAAAACTAAGATGGCGATGAAATAACATTGTTCCGTGTTTAACGGAATCTGATTGAGTGACAACTAGGAATCACACAAATAATCGCGTGATGCTGGAGAGATCTGAAAATTAGGCTAGCCTTTGCTTCTACTTCACAAGGGTTACCGGTCTAAATGGGGACTTGTAGTTCTTCTGGGTCATGCGGTGGGAGGCAGGTAACTTGCAATAGCGAATCGCGAAGGGCTCAACAATTGTATTATGTATAGGCAACAAGCTAATAAGGTCACCTTTTCCCCACCCTTTTACCCACTTCCAGTACAAAAAATGCGCTCTAAATGGAATCTATAGATCCAGCAAAAAAAAACTTAGTTATTTCAAGCTTCAAATGAGCACAATGTCGAGTATCTAATTTTGATGAAATCAACCCTCTATCAAGATTAGTAGTCAAGTACGCAGTACGGTAGCTTGACATCGTGCCAAATCTTGAGAGCGGTTCGATGCCGTCACTGGGAGCGCATCTCATCGAGCCTCAAGTGTTTAACTAGAAAAATATTTCATGAAAGCTTTGGTGTATCAGTTCCACGAAAATCTAATAAAACGTGCTATATATTCTAAGCGGCTGGATCATCACATACGTGTCTGAAGCAAAAGGTCTTACTCTAATAGAATGATGAATGGTAGTCTGACCTGCAGGGACCCATGTCAGTGCCCAACCTCATGATACGGCTTAGCGATGTTTACTTAACTTATAACTTATAATGCGGAGCCGATCAATGAGTTCAATTTATCTAGTGTATGCAACGGGTAAGTAAGTTTATTAGTTGCACGCTTTGTGTAATTTGGCGTCTTTTCGGAAGAGCGATCTGGGCATTATCCACTGTAATCATCTGCGTAAGCATGGCGTAGTATGAGGCTTCTTAGACGGGACTAGAGAGCTCTCAAGGGGGCCAGAAAGGTGCTTTTGGGGCTCCCATTTTGTGGGCCACCCTGAGAGGTATTACCAGCAATGATCGCTGCAGTAGGTCGGGTCGCGTCTGTAACCTCGATTGACTGGCTGTACGGCCAATCGGCAGCCACAAGCCTATCGAATTTTCGGCATCGTCACCATTTCTGTGGCCAATACGTCACCTTACACGCGCAATGGTTTACACAGCTCGCAGACGTGGTCTTTCAATAACTCAATGGCTGCATACATTTTGATAATAGCCACGTTTTGGATCGTAAGTCGTCGAACTTATTTGGACTTGCGGAGCGTCGGTGAATAACAAGGATATTGACTCTAATAGGCGTCAGCCATTGCGCATTGGCACATCTTGTTAATTTTTTAATCACCCGATGAAATCCATTAGCCCCTAGGAATGAGCTTATGAGCCTATAAAGACCATTGGGCTGGAATGTAAATAATAGATAGACATAGATACAATTAAAAATTAAAACAATGCCCAACAAATAAAACAGTACATACACATTTCTTTTTCTGTTTTTTGCTACGAGTCGAAAACTAAAAAACTGCTCGAAGAGAAAAGCTAAAGATAGAGCAAGCTTTCAGCAACAAAGAAACACGCCATAAAGGAACGTTTCTCGATTTAATGACTAAAAGTATTCCTTTGCACTTATCACGAATTCATTAGGTTGTCCGGTGTAAAGCGTGACGGACCTCAGTTCATAATCGAAGTTAACGCTGTTCTATAGAACAGCGTGCGGTGCGGCGTGTTTAATTCGCGACGATCTTGTACTCGTTTAAATCTGAGATCGTCCAATGGAATATCGTTAGTCAGCTTTTTAATAGCCGAGTTAACGTGAACCACAGAGAACAAATATGAGTTCCATTTTAGAATTTCATCGGTAGAGACACCTTACCGTATGAACCTAGTGATCTCTGAAGGTTCTTTCTACTAGAAACTCTATGGGCAAATGCAAGCAAAAAATCTTGAATTTGAAAAATCTCGTGAGATACTCTAAGTTAGAAGAGTAAGTAGAAGAAGTAAGAAGTTAAGAGCTATGGTGGAAGCTAAAGCCGCTTCAAAGCACACGGTTGTTAGCGCTCGAAAAATACCGTGCTTGCTTACAACCGTCAAATAAATAGGGTAGAGCAACTGGGTAAATGAGTGACTTTGAGGAAAGCTCAAATCAGACACAGACATAGATTAAATTCTTGTGCCGAATTTGTGATAAAAACTAGATCCTTTATTATCATCGCAAAAAGTCATATCAGTGAATGGATACAAATGAACTGGCGAAACATCACCGTAAATAAAGTAAATGCATAGCTGTGAAAGCCTGTGGTGTTTATCTAATGTTTATATAGCAATTTTATCCATTACAGTTTTATGAGTCTTGGTTTATCGATTATGACTTGACTGTACCATTAATAGTGGTAAGAGATAATGAGAAAGCTTCGCATCAGGTAATGAAAATTAATGGGCAGAAGTGAACCAATTCTATCGCACAGCAACGTTCGACCGTATACGGTACAAAGATCACGGTGGGAGAAACGTAAGGATGACAACTACGGGCTCTCTGTTATCCACGATACCAACCAAACCGTAGATTTTGGGTCCTTTAAGATGGAAGTTACTGAAGTTTCAGCATGATGGCGAAATTGCTTTTCGAGATTTCATCGAATCTCGCACTACAGACTTTTACAGCAGTGCGATAAATACGTTGCTATCGGAATGATCGAAGGTCGTAGCTAACAATGGTCCATGCTGCTATTGAAAACAACCTATGAAAATCACGGGACAAAGAAGCCAGAAACAATTCAGCAGGATCTCTTGCAGACTGTCTCGTGCTGAGATTCGATCCTGGATTTTTCATATTTTATGTATAGCGGCTACTTCACCGTTCATATGTGTTGTATGTACCGCATGGAGAACAATTACTAGCGACAATAAACACATTGAAGTGATATTGTGATAGAAGGTATCTATCTAGCTTAACCTTCTACAAGGCGGGAGATCTAGGCTGGAAATTTTTATTATGCGTCGTTTCCAAGGCTATATTAAAAAAAAAAATAGTTTCACATGCGTTAAAGGCGGCATTCTGAACGGCCATGTAGTTCCTATATTATCATTACTATATATTCATTTGTTGACCTGAAATACGTTACACATTAAATTTCGAGTGGAACCAAATGTTGCTGATAGGAGGTCAGAAGTACTAAAAATGCAAGAGCGCGAAACGGCCAAAAACTCCAGACGGTGTAAAAAGTCCCAAAAAAAACTAACGGTCAAAGCTGATCAAAACAAAAACACAGCCGTACAATTCTAAATCGAAAATGAAGAATGGCTTTTTGAACCACTTGGTCAATTTCTTAACATTTTACATCTCAACTATATTGAGAATCTTCCGGTTCGCCTTATGGAAATCGTTTTTGAACTTTCTTAGAAACGACGCGTTCCGCCCAATTTTGATATTTCATCCGACAATTGAAGGATTAGCTGAAGTACCATATCGTCATACTTGGTGTTCTCCGTGACATGAGCGGCTGTCGGGACAGAGTACTGACGTTAGGACAGTTTTAACTAGAAAATTACCAATATCATTTCAGTTGATCATACTTTTATCCGATGACGAAAGAGTGGACAGGCATTCGTTGCTATTAGACAGTGCAAAAAGTATTGCAGCTGTCACAACGAACGTCAGAAAGAACCGGAAAGAAAACATTACA